TATGTATATATATATATATAGTCAGTGTATATATACAACATTTACTTGTATATATATTAACATACACACATACTCTACGTTTTCGGCTTGAAGCAATTTAAAGTTTAACAAAAAAAAAAAATAAACAATTCAGGCCTGACAAAAGTCTAAATAAGCTTCAGGGTTTTGTCTTTTCAGTTAGTTTTTTATAATTTTTTTATAACAATTGGCATTTAAGTAAGCACAGAAAAGAATACAAATACTTTACAATCATTTACTTACAATAAAGGAAGGGCAAGAAAAATAAAGATAAAATATGGCAAAAAATCACAAGACGAAGAAAAAAGAATAATGCCATAATATTTGCAAATTGCCACTTTTGTTAAATCGTTTAACTCCAAGAGGTCAATTTCAAATCGAACAATGGTTATTCAAGCATAAAAATGTTTAAATGGCAACACTCCCAACACAGCAACAGCAACAGCAAGAACATCAATAAAAACAACAACAACAAATGCTATTACAACAATCGTACTAATGTCACAAGTGTCATTTTGGCATTTGGAGACATAGAACACCAGTAACGTCTTGAGACGTGATATTTGGAAAGCTATCAAACGGTTCCAGTTGATGCTTTAAACAAGCGATTTGTCAAAAAGGGCACAAAACAGACAGTTGGTGCAATGAGTTTTAGAGTTAAATGGAAGGTGTGTGTGAGCTCCTCCACCACTGTATTATTTAAGTATAAATAATGGAAAATAGGTGAGATCTGTTTGCATTGTACATATATATATGCTAACAAAAGTTATAAGCATTATTTCAGATAATAACCTCAATAGATATGATTATTACATAAAGAGGTTTTTCGAACAGTAGTGAACTACAACAACAAAAACTCATTTCATATTATTTTAATTAATTGACCATACAACTGTTTCGAGTAGTGCCAAATACCCATCATCAGCGGACTTGGAAATAATTCTTGTATTTAATTATAGTGCCCTGACAAATTTGAAACTCAAAGTCAGCACAACTTAACCAACTGACCCAAAGTCGTACTTGACTTTTATGTTCGCACATTTTTCTAGAGTTTTGTTACTTTGCTGTAAAAGTTTTCTCAACAAATTCACTTGTGTTTATAATAAAACGAAATCATAAACCAGCTGTAGAATGATTTAATTAATTATGTATTTTTTTATTTTTAATTGTTAAATTTCCATACTATTCTATTTGTAGAGGCATTATTTGTTGCATAATTTATAGAACCTAATCTAGAAACATAATACTGAGAACGTCATTCTAATGTTACTTTACGAGTCGCACGGGCGAGACGTTACTCCACATGTATATAAGAAGAACTACATTCCCATGACAACTTAAACTGTTTCTAACTAAAACTAAAATTACCACTAAAATTACGGCCATAATATATAATTTGTCGAAGGGCTGCAAGGGCTAAAGTCCATCAGCCAACGATAAAATAAATGAAAAAGGGATTAGATCAAACACTGACATAGCGGTATTGCGATCGATAGAATTTATACATTATTCCGTCCTATTCCGGGTACTATCTATACGCAATGTATTGTAAGGATATAGAAACAATGATTATTGTTGTTATATAGCGCAAACGAGAATAACTTAGTGGCCAATGTTTTTTTTTTTAGGTCCAATAGGTTAACTTCTGTTGGCACTATCTCCTGTTTTTTATTTATATGTTAAACAATAAAATATCTCAAAATATAAATATCTCAAAAAATAAAAATATAGTAAGTCTCTCTGAAAGTATTAATATGAAAATAATCACCAATTCAAAATTAATTTATAGATAGCTACAATGTTCATAGTTGTGAGTACGCTGAAATTTATGGTTCAATTATGTACCATTTTTAACATAAGTATTTTCCCGGTAATATACAAAAAATATAATAACCCAAGAATTTTTTCCAAATTTTATTCAGTCTATTTAGACCGAATAACTTTTGTTAAACACAAAGATGAAACATAAAATTTTTATTTTTTTTTTAAATTATTAAAAAAAATCAGGGTTACCCGCTTTTATTTGCTTGATAGTTTGTATTTTATTGTTCTTATTACAAAATTTCTTAACCTTGGCCCTACAGCAGTAATTTTGCATATTATTTCATTTAAAAGTACTTAACTCTGCGCTGTAACTATTACTTTAATGGTATTATTACCTAAAGCTTAAGTTTTTGAGGGTCTCTTGTACTATAAATTGCTTTGATGTATGCTGCAATAAAGAAATCTGTTGTCTCAGTGTCTGCGTCAATTTACGAGTATTGAAAAGCCTGATCACAACTGTCCAGTTTAAATTACTAAAATTTACTTGTCAAAATTTATGATCAACACACGTTTGCACTCTACTAAAATAAGTTGAGCACTAAAGTTTATGAGAAAAAAAGTTAAGAATTGTGAAAATTTATGGCAAAAAAAAAAATTTATTCACTTGATTAAAAATTTATTTATTGGACTTTAAAATTTCCTAATATTATATTACCCAGTATCCTTTCGAAATAAAGTTCTTATTATAGAACGAAATAATCAGATTCATAACTAATATTGTATGATTAGTATAATACTACGTTTACATTGTGAGATTTAGAGAACGAGATTACGTTCATCTGCATTTTTAATCTTCATCGTTTACATTATACATTGGTCTTCTAAGATGATAAAAAAATCTACGATATTAAGACATTTGCATAAGGAGATTTAAAATTAATCTCGACTAACTTAACTTTTGTATGGGAAATCTGTGATTAAATAACTATTAGTACTATCTAGTAATAGTGATAGTAGTACTAGTTATTGTTGTTGTGATTTAAGTTAGTGCTACTGCGCACTTTTACTTTTTTGTGGCTGAGGGGCTTATCCGTGCCCCACACTAAGCTTTAACTACACTAGAATTATTATCATTTATTTATCTTTTAACTGATGACGGACCGTAGATGAGCATATCTTCCTGTGCGTCCTGAGATGGACTTAAGGTTTGTTAGGGCGTGGTTGGGCAACGTATTGACTTTTGTAAATAATTTTAGGGCTCTGTCCTTGACATATTTTTTCACTGAGTCGATCCTTAGATCTCTATGCATGTCTGTTGTTCTAATATATCAAGGAATATATCAAGTTCTAATCAAGTACTTTAATCTCGATGATTGCTTTAATCTACTTTTAATCTTACAATGTAAACACAGTATAAGTCAGTATTTGAATAAAATTGAGAATTTATTGTAATTTTGATATTCTATTGCAATATTTTTTAACCTATTCATACTATGTACATGAAAAATATATATATAGAATAGAATGTTTAAAAATGAATCATTCAATTGGTTTAGAGTTTATTATTCATTCCTGTGAACATAAGGAAGAACAATTTAGTATCCAAAATTATTACGTTTTTTAATAAAAGTTTAACGACACTGTCAATATATACATAACATATATAGATAAAGATATATACGTACATAGAGCATGCGCAGCTGACAAATTGCGCAAAATAGACAAAAGCATAAGCACTTAAACGTTCTTGAAAAATAAATTGTATCTAGGCTTTATATCTTTTCTTCAAATCTTTTTTGTATCTTAAAACAATATATGAAATAATATTTCGTTTAAAGTAAAAGAGAAAAATAATATTCGAGAGTATAAAATATGGTTGTGATCATAAAATAATGCATTTGAAGTATGACTTGAAATTTTTAAGAATTGGAAGTTCTTTATAAAAATTAATGCTTTATTCAATTTTAATTAATTTTCATTGATTTGCATAAATCATCAAATTTAATCGACACTGCAGTGTGAATTATAAAATCGATCCTAAACTTCAACATATATTATAATTGCATGAATTTATTTGGTATATAAATTTATTAAGAATTATAATAAGAAATCTTTAGTTAAAAATTTAGAACGATACGATATACTATTACTTATCGTTCATAAATTTGACATGATTAATTATGTTGGCATCAAAAAAAAAAAAGGGATTTACCTTCTATATAGAATAGAATATAGAATAAAATATAGAATTTTAAAAGAAAATAACTGCTATAAGTTAGCTGTTAGAAAATAAAAGCAAAGATGGAAAATAATTTTGGAGATTATCGGATATCACCTTCTCTCTCTCTCTCTCTCTCTTTCTCCCTCTCTCTCTACCCATAACCATGTGTCATGTGACACAATAATTTCCACAATATCTCAATATCGAAGGTTTGAGGGAGATACGGTTGCCACTTGAAAATTTTTTTCTGTACCAAAATTGGTTTAAAAAGGTACCATTTCTGTAAAAAAACGTCCAAAATTTTTTTGGACCTTTTTGTTTTCTCGTTCTGTGTTTTTCATAGTGTTATAAATGAACAAAATATAAAATAGTGCAAAGTTGCATTTATAAAAAAAATTAATTGAAAATATCCACAATAAAATTGGGTCGTCAAAAATGTACCAGTTTTTGAACATGAGTACCAAACGAAAAAAAAAAAAAACAAAAAGTACCAATTTTGGTACTAAAGTACCATAAGTGGCAACCGTGGAGGGAGCACTAACCGAAGACGTCTGGAACGACATGCTGCGTCAGACTGAAACTCGGTAACGGGTTGTTATGAAAGCAATTAACTTATACGAAATATAACAATTCTGTATTATATAGCTCACTGCTATAGCTCATTGCTCTATACTATTGCTATTGTATGCATATTAACTATAAATAAATAAAATTTTGCAGTAACAAAAGCTTATATACTCCCAAGCGAAATTATAAAAAATTCCAAAAGTATTTCAGTTTGGAGCCGTAAACTTAAAATTATTTTTAGGATAATCTCAACTATAGTCAAATTCAAATCGATCGGTTTAACGCAACATAAGTTATTAATATTGAATCCCAAATTTGATACAATACCAAAAATAAAATTTTGTTGGACGGTCAAATCCATTTGGCTTTAGAAGAATAATTAAAAGAAAATGTAAACTAAATATGCGTTTATACTTTTAAATAGACTTACCTTTTAATTGATATCTGAATTCAGTGAAGTGTGTTTACTCTAAAAAGAAAGAAAATATTGTTAATTAGATATTTCAGAATTAAGTTGTTTAATATTTAAAAAAATATTACAAATATTTAAAATAATACATTTAATATATTCTTTTATACAATACATAGTACATTTTTTATACAACTGATGTTCTCTCATTGAGTTGATCTTAACAATCTAAATCTAAATCTAACTCAATTTGTTTTATCGCCTTCAAAAAGGTCCAAAATATACCAGTGGTTCCATACATGCTTCTTAGATTGATTAAGTAATGATCAGTTTCAATTCAAATTTCTTTACGATCACAGTAGACTTGAAACGTCTTCCTCGAAGTGGTAATTCTAACTTCAGAAACCGAAAAAATTCACAAGGGATCTTCTTGTTGGATGAGAGCTATGCTTTGTTGATCACATCCGGCCAAAAGATTTATGCAATCGCAGAACACTTAAACGTATAATTGCAAAAACAGCTGAAATAAGCACCATCTTAAATATTCCCGATACTTTTTAAGCAGAAAGTATATTTTCCGATAATAACGTATAGGAATTGCATAAAATAATTTTTTGTTTTTATTTCAATACACGTTTTATTCCCACACAATAACGTTCTAATTCCAAATGCACTTAAGCTTGCTAAGTCAACAATCATAAGTACATAATTCTCAGTGATAATATCTTTATTATTATTTAATTCTTTCACGTAGCGCATTTTCGCATTATCGTCTTATGCAATGATAAAATCTACACATGCTATTCACTTCTCATTTCTCATTTCTCATTCCTCACTCTTCAAGTCCCCCATACGGAGCTCTTGAAAACTTCAACGACTGCAATTTAACTTTAGAAGCAATTGCTTTTTCAAGTGTAAACACAGAATTTTTCGACCATTAACGTCTGTTTGATCGTCATGATCTTAACCTTGAAAATGTTTGCCGTTTCGCGTTAAATTACGAGGAGCGTTTCGAGATACTGAAATCGCTTTTTGTTTTTCTTTTTTGTATCTTGTATCTTGTATCTGAAGTGAAAGTTAATCGCAGTCGCTGTAATCTAATGTGTGACAAACATGCTGTGACATTTTCGCTAGACATTGCAAGTGTGACGAAAAAGCGAAAAAACGTTTATATAATTTAAATAACGACGACAACTAGCAAAACTAGACCAGACACTTTACTTTAGTAATAGCTACAGTCAGTTAATTCCAGTTACGGGTATCTAAAAGTTTCATTAAAGTTCGTCATAGTTGCGTAAGATAGTTGTAATAATTTAATTAATTTCTTTTATTTCATTTTAATTGAATTGTTTTTTTTTCATAGCTTAAATAATGATTAAAAAGGAATAATGTAGTAAATAATAAACGTAAATTACTTCAATGAGATATTTATACATATACAGGGTGTGAGCAAACAATAACGAGAACTTTCAAATTGCAAGCACAGTAATTTCTTTATCAACTCAATTTTTTTGTGTACTGGTTGTACTGCTTTTAATATTTATTTATGGAGGGAATAAGCAAGATAACGTTAAGACGACTGTCGCTATTTTATATAGAAAAATGAACAATCAAGAAGTTTGTTCAAAATTCAAACGGAACTAAGTGCAGTCAAACATTAAAAAGTACTAAGAAAAGCCTTAGGTGATGATACTTTGTGACAACCACACGCTTATGAAGGATGCAAACGCTTTCAGAAAGATCGAAAGGACATTAAAGATTATATGACTATCTAACATATCTAGCAATGATAACAAATTGTAAAAATACTAAACGAATTGTGCTAATTGGAAAATTGATACTACAAAACACATTAAAAAAACAAAGATTTTATTTGGGTCATGCTAAGAGATTTGTGCCCATCCGCAGCGACATATAACATCTAGATCTGAAACATATTGTCCAGATATGATAGCCTTCAACTTTTTTATATTTCTCAATATTGAGAAATAGTATACATATTACTAGTTATTTAAGATATTGTAAAAGACTATCAAATCAAATCAAAACGCTATCCAATATTGTATATATAAAACATAGATACATGCAATGTATATCATAATCGCCACTAACAATATTTCTCCATTAAATTTATATACTTAATAAATAATTAAAGGTATTTAAAATATTTAACAAAGCTTATTTGTGCTATTAACAAGCATTTATCTAAAAACTAAACTCGGATAGACATAACACATGCCTCTCAGACAAATAAGTATGCTGTGCTGGCAAATCAAATCAAAAGGGAACAGCTCTATTCTTCTGATCCAAAAAGTTATTCTAACAGCAAACACTATCTACTCATGTAGTACAAATGAATTTCAAAAAATCTTTCTATTGAAATACGAATGTGAAAAATGATTCAGCATAGGTCATTTGGATTACCATGACTACTTGAGTAGTCCAAAACTGTAATCAATCTAAAGTAGGCACAGAAATCTATTTAGTTTAAGACAATAAATAGAGTTATGTTCATCTTGCAAGATTTCATCACGTCGAAATCTATTTTTAATCTATTTTATTATTAAAAAGGCTGGCCACGGCATTTCAATAATAATCTTATAAAAGCAGGATATTTTGCACCTGTATGAGTGTAAAACTCCATTACTTGCCCTGTGTAATCAAAACACAAAATTAAAGTTAAATAGTGTAAAACTTAACTGAGGTCTCTTAGCATGAAGTACATAATTTCAAAATTACTTAGTGTTCACGGAGCACTGGTTATCAGGTTATGTGGTTACAAAATTAAAAATAATCTCTGAGAATAGGCTTTTACGTGGGTTATCTGGTTATTTTTACACAATCAGTTGTTCTTTGTTGTGTCTTTTACTCTTCCGGATTTCGTTAGACACTGAAAATTGAATATAAATAAGTTATAAGTATTTTCCGGTCCTATGATCCTCCTAGAAGTTAAATGTGTATAGGTATATATATATGGTAGGATGCAAAAAAGCTAAGTTAACATGATGAAACTACAATCTTTCAAGCACGTTAATCGAAGGAATAAATCTCATACAAGTGTTGACCAAATGAATTGGCAGACTTTCTAACCAGAAATTACGACATATTCCAAAGCTTACGACAGTTTAGAAAGGTCTTTAGCTAATAGACGATCATGCTATAAAAAGTGGGCAACCCTCTAATTGCTTTGGAACATTTTGTGTGTATGAAGGTATGAAGTAGCACAAAAGATCAACTATAGTCGCGGTGCTCCGCTCAGTTGGGAGCTGATACCCTGTTTAATTCTATTCTAACTCAGTATGAAACAGATTACTAGAGTAAATACATGCAATCGTTATTTGACATACAAAAATCAAAAATTATACTTTTTATTTTTCCAAAGCTTTTTTTTACTATCACATTATTGCTTATAAGAAAAATAATTTTGCAATGTTAGCAATTGGTAAAGTAAATTCAAAATAAAGATTCTATTAGTTGAGTAATATAAATATTAAAACCCACACTCACAGAAGCTATCTAGATACTTGTGTAAACAATCATATGTATATTTAAAAAGATAAATAAAGCTAGAAGCAAAAAATTTTAATTTAATTTTTCTATGAATTAAAATTTTTTTAAGCACCACTTGAGTATGATATATTTTTGTTACCATCTTCGAATGTTCTCATAGAATAGATGTTGAAATGTCAAGTTGAAACGGCAGCAATCGCACGCAGCTGACCCAAATTTCGAATTACAAAACAAGAATGAAAAAATAAGAATCTACAAAATTTGTGATCTTCAGTTTTTTTTCAAGCTTGGAACTTTCCATTAAATTTAAATACCAAATAAATTTTCCAACAACGAAAACATAGCAATTAAGATAAATAAAATCAGACGTACTAATTGCACTTAATTGTCAAAATGTCTATTTTACGTTGACATCCGATCAAGAGAAGAGGCAAAATCACTAGGGAAGAAAGCCGAAAAAATACTACGGCAGAAGTGTCAATCAAATGTCAATTGAAACTGTTTAGCTTCACTTAAGTAAGCAAAGCAAAAAATCAACACTTAAAAGTACTTATAAATGCCTAAACACACACATAGCCTACCACATATGTACTCGTATATGATATGCTAGCCCTTATGCTTTAACAATTTAGTAACTGGAAAGCCTAGAGGCGTACAGATTTAATGACGTAAAATTGCTAAATGTTGTCAATAAAGCAACGACAAGCAAAACTGCTTCGCGATCTTGAGAAATATAGCATCTAGGTATTTAGGAATCAAAATCATCACATATACAAGGTGTATCTAATCAAATAGAATACTTTGATTTCTTGGTTTTAATATAGTAGACTCAGTGAAAAAATGTATCAAGGACAGAGCCCTAAAATTATTTACAAAAGTCGATACGTTGCCCAACCCCGCCCTAACAAACCTTAAGTCCACCTCAGGACGCACAGGAAGATATGCTCTTCTACGGTCCGTCATCAGTTAAAAGATAAATAAATGATAATAATTATAGGGGAGGATAACCCACAAAAGAGTAAAAGTGCGCAATAGCACTAATTCAAACCACAACAACAACAACATATAGACTGAAAAGATAAGCAATATCAATAAAAAAAAATTATTTTTTCTTTAATTCAAAACAGCTTTTAATTTTGACTAAAAAAATCCAGATACATTTTTTAACCCAATATTCTAACATATCATTAATCATATGCAATATACATATTTCTCTTTATATAGTCTTGCTTAATCAAAAGCTCAATGCCGATTAAATGTACCTGAACGCTTTCATACTCTAGTGAATGAAGACATAGTGGAAAATCCTACGTACTCTAACAGTACCAGTGGATGAACACTAACATTTTTGATCCAAACGTATGCCAGCAAGATGTGTACTCTACAGAATAAAGAGCATTAGAATATTGATTGGCTTTGAAAGAAAATTGCTTGTAGGAATATATAGCTTATGCCAATGCCATAATGATTTAAGAAGTTTGTCTAAAAAGTGAATATTGGAACTACAATTCAAATCAAAAGACTAATGTCCCGCGTAAATAACAAACACAATGTAATCCAAAGTTTCACATATTTTAGTTAGTGTTAAAGAACAAAATCCACTCTTGAAATCCACATCCACTTAATGTAGTTTTCATTGACGAGACGTACAGGGCACGCAATTAGAAAAAGTAATGTTCAACCATCACAAGATATATTGCGAATCACGAGCTATTTATATTATAGTAAAGTAAGACCACGACTAAGGTGGATAGATATTGACAGTCATTCAGCAGATATTTATGTGAGAAAGTGGTGTATGGTTGCAAAATATATAAAGATAAGTAAAGACAATGCAGATGCAGATGCAGATGACAACTCAATGTGGGCTGTACAGCAAAATAGGATCATTCCACTGATACAAGCTCAAAGTAGACACCTTGTAATCAACAGAACACATATTAAAATTAAAACTGAATTTTTAGCAGATCTCTACAGGCTAAGATAACATATCAATAAAATGCTGCTTATATAGAATTATAACATTTGTCGATTCCGTAAAACGAATTCTCTGTTAACGCTCAAGACTGAATAACAGCACCCCATACCATCCTAGGGAAAGTCTCTTTACCCTATACAATATACGGAAGATAATGAAACCTGCTTAGCTGCTCTCACGTTCATTAAAAACTTAAGGATCGAAAGATAACTGTGGTTCACACAACAGATCATATGAGTCTTGAAACGTAGATATTCCTACTTAATAAAAACAGCTGTGTGATTCAACCAGACATAGTCTCACGATTTGATTCTTCCCTGCTCAGTTCACCCAGTGTCGTCTTTATTTTATTAGACAAATAAAACAGAGAAAAAAAATACATAATTGCTTTAGTTATTTTTATATTAAGATGAAGCAATGTAGTATGTAGGATAAATATATACAATATATACATTTACATAGATACATGTAGTAATAAAATGGAGAGACAAGCGAGTATCGTAAAAAATACCACAAAACGATTGTGTTCATTATCACAGTTGAATGGTGTCTGTGCAGAAACGCGTTCAACTGTAGATTCAGTTCGAGCAGAGGAAAAACTCCATTTCAGCACTTCACTTCACTTCATTTTTGCCATTTGCAATGGGTAATTGAAGCCGATTTTTACAGTGCAAGTGCCTATAATGCCCATATAATGCCCATAATGGCTAAATGCGGTTGTGGTTTTACTATTGAATGAGCGTCTCAAGCAAAGAGTAGATACATTTTTTTTAATTGGACATGTTGCATGCAACATAAATAACAGCAGCTTATTTTTGTTGATGTTTTGATGTGTGTTGTGACAGTTAAATAATTATTATAAATGAATACGAGTAGGAATATTTGAAACTTTGCCGGCAGTGGAAGAGATGCAGCCACAGAATATTTTAAAGATATGATTAACTAATTAAGTAATTAATGATTGAATAAATAATTATTACACATGTAGGACGTGTGGTTGTGATTTTTAATGTGAGCCACATAAAAGGAAATGTACAGCTATAATAAAACAATTTAATTACAATGAATTAGATTATTAACATTACAATAATTAATATAATTCAATGAATTAATTAAATTAACTTAAGTAAACTAAATTGATTTACATAAAATATAAATTTTAATTTCCATTTCTAAGCGAGCCATTTCCTTAGGACCCAAATGACTTCGTCTTTCATTAGGACAGACTGTCAGACTTGCAATCATATAGGTAGATTGATATAAATATTTATTTTTATAAATGATATATGTATATATATGACTATATATTATATATATAAATTATTTGAAGTAAACAAAACAATATTTAAATTGTTAAAAGCGTTATAAATCTGGTATGGCAACAAAAAGAAAAAAAACTCTATTAAATCTACAAAATAATATTGACAAAGATATAGAGAAATGATAATAGCCTTAAGCAAAACTCATGCGTATATCAAACGAAAGAAACTATGCTTAATTTGTGCTAATGCAGTCACGAAAGAGCTATAATAGTTATGAGAAAATCCATAAGCGACACACGGCTATAATATAAAAATCATCAACGATAATATGTGTAAGACACTTAGAACGAAGAAAATTTTGAATCTAATGTTCTTGTAATGTATAATTTGGAAAGTTGAAAAACTACATAAATGGAACTTCAAGTACTCTTACCATTTCCTAAAAACGGTGAAAACTTGCATGATGTTCAATGTATTTCTATGTACATCTGGTACCTCTAAGGATCAATAGATCTATGAGTAACTTACAACCAGCCTAGTCGACTTAATATAAACTAATACTTTCATTTTTTTCGTGTGATCCTATGACACACCGTTGAAAATAAACGCAAGCAGCAAAAAACTAGTGAACTTTTACATAGCACTACCCAGTGATTATATATCTTAAGGTTTGTATTCCAAAACTACTCGACACTAAAAATAATTCAAATTCATTTACTTATCTTTTTGTAATTTTAGCAGTTTTATTCACAAATTGAAAATCTTTCCTTTAAATATTCAGTATTTTGGATTGAAGAGAAAAATGCATTACAATTTATTTCCACAAATTCTCATAATGAAGTGGAGTCAGTCGGTAGTAATAATAAAAACATGAAGTCGATCCATACGAATATTAACTATTTCTGAAAATTTCATCATTTTTTAAAGTGAAGAAAAAAAAAAAAACGAATGAACTCTGTTTCCACCCCCATTGAAGAGGCTCTCTTTCTTCACCTTTACCCAGTTTGACTTCAATTTAAATCCCATCTATAGACAATCCACTTTTACTCCTAAACAACATCCTCTCGCACTACCATCACCTTACCACATCCTTACGCATGTATATAGGTATATATTTCTGTAATTCTTTTGTTGATGTTGTAGCATTTTTGAGAGTGCTAAACGGCACTTCATTGTTGAACTCAACAAGTGATTTCCGATCTTACACCCGGAACTCTCTCCTGTTATCTACTTGACAACAACAAGAAACTTAGTTTCATTAGCAGGATATTTCACGCGATTCTGCTTTAATATATGAAATATAGTTATAAGTAAAATCAAATGAAATCATAAAAATGCATACATATGGCTTCATTTTAAGAGATGATTAAATAGGGCTTTCAAAAAAATCATTTATTTACTCTTTCTATGTTAGGACAAAATTGTAGGTCAGGATTCTCGGATGCATGTATTCTCTAAACGAATCTCTCCAAATGAATGATATTAACTCACAATAGGGAACACTGCTGATATATGTTCGAAAATTTTTTTTTTAAATCTACGTATAGACAAAGTACCTATGTATATGCAATTATAGAGCATTTTGCAACAACAACAAATAAAATAATGTAATAATATATGTGACTAAATCAAAAATTTTAGAAGATTTATATCTGCTGTAAACACATTTTAAACAATCGATGGTATTAACCATGCATATATTATCTACATAACCTGACCAAACTTCAAGAACGGTCAAGCCTACGTCCCGGAACTATTTATCGCATTTGAAGATCAAGTGCCGTCCATGCGGGTTACAACAACAAAACATCAACTGAACAGTAAGTTAACACACTTAATGTCAACTTTAGCATTATGTATGTAGGGTACAATGAGACTATAAATTTTACAGTGAGGTTGCGATAAGAACATTACTCAAGGAATTTTTTACTTTTTACTGATGAATGATTCTTTCCTTATAATTTTTCTCTGGTTTTAAACACTATTTATTATAATCATAATTATAATATTTTTTTATGATGATAGATTTAATTTTAATATTTTTTAAGCTTGTTTTAGTAGAAATTCACGCATTTTTTAAAGAAAACAAAAAACATAAGAAAACTGTGTAATGGACATTAAATCAAAAAAAAAGTGAAAACGGCAGTCCACGTAAGGCCTCTTGCAGAAATTATGCAGAAACACGTACTCACTCTGAAACACACATACATACACAAATGCAAGTACTCCAATTGTGTTGACACTTCAACGCACGACAACAACAAATAAATAATGATGTATGAAAAAAACGACGCACTTAAATTATTGTGTTTAATTCTTAATATAAATTTTAAACTTACGTTTCAAACTTATTTAACAGAAATCCCACATATATTCTATTCACTTATTTTAAATAATTATAAATTTTTGTTAAAATCTTAATTTCATCACATCAAATTCAAAATTAACACTCTAAGTACAGCAACACCATACTCCGTACACGCTTCACTAAATAATGCAAAACTACATCACGCAAAAGAAGTAACAAAGCAGCAAATGCAAAAACAAAATAGCATATAATCAACAAGCAAAAGAAAGAAACGAAAATAAACCACAAAATTCAAAAAGAACCACAAATATTGTATGTAGAAAGGATAAATTGTTGTTGTCATGCGTTTGTTTACATTTCTCTTTCTGCTTCATACTCCGCTTAGATTGTATTTGTTGGGATTTTTCCCAATTCGAATATAGATCAAAAACAAATTGACATTTAATCAGAATTGGACCGTGAAAGGGAATGCAATTCGGCAACTTTACATTGTTGCCAAATTTATACAAATATTAATTGAATATAGTTAAGTTATTGTAATTACTTTGATTAATTTTTACTCATGTGAGTAATTCAAGAATTATCAATTACGATATTAAACACTATATGCTCCTTTATGTCAAACAAAAGGTTTTAAAATAAAAACGAAAAGAACATTAGTAAAATTATACTTTTAAAATTATTAATTAAATATATTAGTACTTGTGGATTGTGTTAAAAATCAAAATAAAACTGTTTTTTTAAAAGTTTAAAGAGCAAATAAGACACTATATATGTATATTACAGTATATGTACATATATTATATATGTAATTTTTAATATTTTAAGAGAAAAAACTTAAATTAAAACATTTAAACACAAGTTAATGACTGTGATTAAATCGAATTGTTGTTGTCGCATATATCATTCTACCATACTACATTTATAGTTTGAATATAAAAAGAAGTTTTAAGAAGAGAACATATGTATAATAAATTAATTCTTATAAATAAAGTTATAATATGTATAAAGTTTTTATATGTATATTGTATTTCTTGTCTCAAGTAATTGTTAAACAACAAACAATCAAAGGTATTAAAAAGTCCATTAAAGTGAATCGGAATACATTGCAGGTCTGTTTCTATATACATATTTATGCATGTATGTATGAATGTATACTTATAATATTAGGTCTGTTCCACGAGCTACTCGTCGTAAAACTCAAGTAAACCACAAGTAAAATTTACACGAAAATTTGCTGGTGGAACGCACTTTTAACTCGTGGAACAGATCTAATATCAATTAAAAAGGTACTTGAATTTTAATATTTGGTATACTCGTACAAAAAAAAAAAAAACAATTAAGAAAATAAAATTTATGAAATGAACTGTCATTTCTTACAGCTCAAAGATACTTCAACTACCAGTTGAATTTGTAGCAGTTAAATTCAAGTAATATTCAAAACAGCTGATGAGTTCTAACTTTCTACATAAGTTATAAATATTCCATACATACTATTATAAAATACATTGTATATAAAAAAGTATTTAAAATTGGAAAAACGCAGTTCTTTTTTGTTTATTTGATTACATAATAAATAATCTATTAAATTATTAATAAAAGTGGTTTATATACTTTTGATCACAGAACTAATGCATAGTTTTTATTGTATATCGCATATTTGCATATTTTATCACCTGATTGTCCATAATTAACATTTGTATTACAGTGCGTTTTTAGACTTCCGTTGAAACAAGTAATCAGCAGTTATGATGAATTGAAGTAGTTCATGTTCGGCTTATAAAAAGCATCGTATAATAGTTGACAGTTGTTATTAAATATATATTGGGTATTGAGTTACCCTATTGTCATGTGTTCAACTGCGAATAAACAATGATAACATGTATAGAAAAGAACAACACCTACAAAAGCAATTAAGCAATTATGAAACCCTTTTAACTCCTTGCTGGGCAGCACTATTGTCAATTTATCGAATAAGTAAAATCGTTTTAATTCGGATGCCAAATATATAAACAGCAATAGCGCAAACCGTTGTTATCTTCTGGCTCAGAGGACCATTAAAACTAGTATTTGTTCTAGTTAATATTGAAATCTTCAAATAAATTCATAAGTAGTATAATCAATCCAAATTACTCGACGAATTTGTAGCATCAACTTGTCACCTCTAATAAGTAGACGTTTAAATGGAACCATTAATATAGCAGTGGAAGAGACCTTAGGACAGTTTTAATTACATTAATATTCGTCTCTGGAATACTATTCGTACTAAATCGGTTTTATGCAGGGTTTGTTTAAATATAACACACTTGTACATACACCAACGCGTGTGTACAGTAGTAGAACAGGTGCTTCACATTTAGTTAGTAATAAATTAATATTTACTATTATATATGTATGTATGTATAATGTTTTATTTTATAATTATATATTTAATGTGTGATTATGATTATAGCACACCATTTTTCATATATTACATTTCCGGACAAATTTATTTCTTGCCGGGCATTGATATATGTATGTCAGAATTTGACACTTCATATATTCCTCCTATTTACTCCTACTACTTTTTGCCAACAAAGGCGAAAAAAAAACAAAGGCAAAGCTAAGAACCTTTAGGCAGTTTTTGTTGTCTCAACTTTTAACTATTATGTTTATGAGTATAAAAAGGACAGCCTGTACTTAATGCTGGATGTCAGAAGTTAATAGTAAGTTCAATTGGTTTTCGAATTTCTTTCTAATAAATTCGCCTTGGAAGGAAGTTGATCGTTGGTTTTATCTAGTATTGTGTAAATAGTAAAGTGAATTGTGAAAGTAATTGTGAAATCAAAGATGAGTGATTTTTTAAGTAAAGCTGAAATGGAAAAGATCCGAAGTAATTTATAGAATATAATATAATATAATAAATTTACAGTTTTTTCTATTAAAACTAATATATTTTTACATAAAACAATATTTAAGCATAATAGTTAAAAATAATTCTATTCAATTTTTCTTCCAATGGTTGTATTGGATTTATGTTGAAGAATGTCGAATTTTCCCATAATATATTTCATTATTCGTTGGTCACCTTAGAGTACAACAAAATCAAACATTTAATATATCTATAAATATCTATTGCATATTAGGTTAGGATTAAAATACAAGTATACATATATACATGTTTATACACATGTATAGATTATGAATTTTTACTATTGCGCTTTACAAAGAAAAGTATTTTTTGTTTTCGGTTGAGGTTAGGTTAGGGTGGAGTCTAAGCATTTTGAAGCTCACTTAACTAAAGGTATGGACCCGTTGTGATATCAGAGGTTTTGGATTAAAGAATTAAAAATATTTTTGGCAATCCAAAATTTAACGAAAACTAGATTAAATGTCAAGACAGCGTAAGCAAAATTTATTTAACTTTAACGCCCTTCTGTTATGTTTTTCAATGTCATGACTAGGCATTCTTTTATTTTTTTTTTTTTTTTGCTTTTGTTATTGCGCTTCTTTGTTTACATTATATCATTAAAAAAAAAATTGCATCTGGTTTTAAAAATTTAATTTTTGTGCAGAATGTCTGTCGCAATTTACAATACTGGTTGGATTTGTAATGAACCTGAACCTTCCTTTCAGACGCGCTTATGCTACTCAACGACGAAGATACTGTTTTAGGATTAAACGTGTTTCCCTGTGGTAAAGGGTGATTCCAGAAATATTAGAAGATTGCGCGGCTATCATGTGTATAGAGTAAAACTAATAATTGAAGTAAGATTTAAACGTTTAACTCTGACACGGTTTTGGCTAATCTCATTTTAAAATTTGACGACTTGGTGATGTTGCATTGTTTGTGCTAAGGGGCGTAATCTGTAACATCGGTGGTTTACGATTTGAGTAACACCATCGACAAGTCTTTTTGATATGTTCTGGTTGTCGTAATCCGCGGTGTCCTGCTAGTACAGCAGATAGTGAGCGACACTTGACCGTAAAAATTGACGAGAGGCTTCGGAACGATATATTATATTTTATATAATATATATTTTGTGTTCGTGAAGTCACTATAAATGGCATTGCTTTTGAAATGAATTTTAATTGCTCGTTAATTATCAATTTATTTTATTTATTTTGTTAACCCATTAAGTACCAGGCAATTTCAGACTTAAATTTTACGATAAAATTTCTATAGTAAATAGTAAAGTAAAACAAGTTTTAGTAGACGAGAAATGTTTAATATTTTTTTGAGAGATTACTCTCACTTTCCTTTTACCTAAACAATATAAAATATTCTTTGAATATTAAAAACTATTCAAAATTAGCAGTGTGGTGTACCACACAGTGGTCCGAAATGGCTTAATACAATTTTAAGAAACATGAATAAAAATTTCTATAAATTTTTTTTATAACAAATTTATTAAGCTTAATTATTAAATTTGAAAAAAGACAAATTATTTGTTTAAAAATTGATTCACATACATTTTATGCTATTTTATTTATTTAAAAAAATAATATACATATGTACATATAAGTATGTATGTAGTATTTGTGTCTGTAAACAAATATCAGATTAGCAATTTATCCAGCTCCTAAGCGATACTCGCTGCTTTGTGGTACATGTCTGCAACTATTAAAGCCAATGACTCCATACTTCAGCTTATGGATGGTGTTGCAAAAACAAAAAATAATAAACTTAACTGCGTTTAAAATCAGCTAATAAAATAATTTTAAACTTCACCTTAGCTATATTTCACCTTAGCTATCTATACTTCACCATAAACGAACCTGCACAACTGGCTTTAGCTGCAACGACAATTCAACCAACATAGCATTTTTTTCTCCTTTCCTAATAAACTTGCTGCCTACGTTGTTATAGTTTTTTTCTCATTCTTTTTTTCTGTTTTTTTTTTTTGCTTAAAATTAAAATGATAGTTACAGACTTTGTTTTTTGTTTTTATTATTGAAAAAAATTATTTTCAAGATCATGAATCAATACATAGCTTCATCATATGTGCCTGTTTGTTTATTTTTATTTCCCACTGACCCTACAATCAATTCGTACGTAGCAGTAGGGGAAAAAGAACAAGATAATAGCAGCATATTAAAGTGAATTATAAAAACGAAATAATATTTAATTAAAACTGATACAGTTCGAATTGGAAAATATGAACAGTTTCTCAGTTAACCTTACACTAACAAAATAATACAATAGAAAACGTTAAAGTAGCAAAAAAGAAGACAAAAACAACACTTGACGACGCCTGGCTGCAACGTTGACGTTGAGTGCCGCTGCACTAATGATGACAGCAAAAGCAATCAATTTATTTGTTGTTGCTATTTTTAAACGACGTTTATAATAGTTGTTGGTGTAGTTCACTCTTTCAGGTTATTGCACTTGTGTTTTCATCACTGTTTGTTGTTATTATAATGAATTTATTAAATAATAAAAAAAACAGGCTATTTATGCACAAAACAAAAAAATTAAAATAAAAAAAAAATAATAAAAGGATTACAACAAAAGAAAAAAAAATAAAACAAAAAAATTTATTCACAACTAATTTATATTTTCTGTTTATTTTTTTACGATATTTAAAGTTGAAATTCTTGAGGAACCTCAAGTAATCACTATTAAAGAAAATAAGACTATGCGTGGTGAAAATTATGCCCAAGTTCACGTGTCTGATAGTGCACCACCTGTGGCCACATCAATGAAGCTTGGAGTATTAGAAATGAAGCATGGCAATATCGATAAAGATTCAGCAAAAGACCTAAAGGATCCTTCTGGTAAGCTATAGTAGTGTTTATATAAAATATATCTCGCCACCATTCGGCTCAAATCCAAACGATTTAATTTTTTATTTTTTCTTTTGTATACCTTTATGTTATATTTCCCACTTAAAGTGAAAAAAAAAACCTATAAAAGTTTAAAGACGCATGGTACCAAGTCAGAGCTGTACGAAGACTGTCTTAGGTTAAGTTAGGTTATACCAACAAGCATTCATTTCGGTTTATTAGCTCACTGTTTTATGTAAAACATCTTAAAGGTTTAGAACCACATTGGAGTTTTGCTAAACGTTAAAATGCTCTTTAAAAAAAGGTTCTAAAACTGGCCAAAGTCCTCAAAAAAGTAAACCCATACTTCTTGACATAAGTAATTGCTAATAGATAGCCTTATCAATAGATTTGATAGGACTAGATATGCTGCTATATTTAAAAACCTCATTTGCTTTAGAACACAACTTGTGTTTTTATCATTATAGAACTGAACTCAGTACCATGAATTCTATAAATTTCAATAAAGATTTCAGCTGATGTTTAATGAATTCACAATCATTTTTGATGGAATCTGGTCTGTTTATATAGTCCTGATCGTTTTTAAATTGTGCATAGATTCGTTTCTATTCATACGAATGAAATCAAATTTACATTACATTAGTAAGACACTTTACCCACGTCTGGGCAATAGATGATCTCACTTAAAAGATCTATGTTTAAAGTATTATTTACTTTTGAACGCAGTTTTTACACTAAGTACACGTAGGATTTTCTTAGTACTATAATTAGAAAATGTATGTATATCACTGGTTATTTCAAATTTTGCTTTATGATATTTCCATTGTTGTTTTTTCAGCCAAAGACCATGGTTTTATCGATGTACTAGCATGTAATTTACTGGGTATACGTAGGAGAACTATAAGAGACTATATAAGACTTTCTTTCACTTCTCATTTTTTTGTTAAAACATCAAAATTGAGATAATATATTTCTAAAGTTGAGCTTTCAAATATAGTAGAACCATATATGGAAGCGGCTGCAAAAATGTTAACTCTAAACTACGTACGTAGGTATAAGATTTAGTACTGAAGAATTATTTGAACCATGATATTCTTTTTAATACAATTTGTAATAAGAAAATCTCATGGGTGTCTCTCTTATCATATATCGCCCTGTTTTTAAGGTTTTCGGTTTACTATTATGTCTCTAATCGAGTTGAATTAAAATTGGTTTTGATAGTACATATCTTTATTAATCACAAAATTAAATGATATAAATTTATAAAATACTTAATTTGTTTTAATTTTTCGTAGATACTCAACGTGAGATTGTATATTCGGCTCAGATGTCTAAACCTTTCATGAATACCACCGAGGAGCACAAGTTTGCCAAAACTACTGGACGTTACGGTAAATTTAAAACATATAATTTTTAACATATATACGTTTATTTTACCTTATTTTCAATTTCATTATATTTTCTTTGTGATCAGAACGCCGTGCGAAACTGGCTGATATAATTTACAATAATTTTAAACAAAACGCTCAATCTAATGCATTAAGTAGCACAGTCCCGGATGGTGCTTCGCAGGATAGCGAAACCAACTGTTAATAATTCAATTTCAATATTTATACAATGTTTTACCAATTAAAAAGATGTATATATGTGCGTATATTATAAATTTTTTTATTTTCTGAAGTAAGTTCAGCTTTTAAAGACATTAGAAATGGAATATGACAAATTTGGACAAAACGCTTTATAACATATGAGCCGTTATTTGTCCCGTACGCTCTTTTGACTATACACGAAAGTGACAGTATGTCGTAAAGTATTAAGTTATTGCAAATGGGAATTCCGAGATAATAGAACACAGCTGTAACATCGCGGAAAATTTTACCTTTAATTAGGACAACGATCCCAAGCATACGTCAGCCGTAGCAAAGCTTTGGTTCATCCATAACTGTCCCAACTTCGTAAAAACATTACCACAAAGCCCAGACCTTAATGTACTTGAACATGTTTGGGAGGAATTAGCTAGGAGAGTGTATCAAAAAAAATTTAATACAATGGTATAGCTTAAGGTATGGTACTCAATAGAGCCAAAAGTGTGCCAAAACTTGGTTAAATCAGTTCCAAATCGTCTACAGACCGTTCTGTATAACAAAGAATATGGAAAATAATATTCATTGTCACATTTCTGCATTTTTAGAATTGCTGTTTCGTCCGATTATGCGTTATCCGTTACTTCAAATTTACAATTAATATGAGAAATTTTGCAGTTTTTTTATTATTTAGATAGATAAGTATGTTTAGTGAAAATTGAAGTAAAAATATTTAGTATATTTAGTATATTTAGCACATATTTTTACAGTTTAGAGCACATATATATCGAGAAAATTCTTGTCCCATTATGCGATGGAGCCACTGTATGCAGTTTGGAATAATTAAAATTATGGTTGTTGTTTATAATTGTATTTAATGTTAAACTAATATTTAGGAGAAATTGTTAAATTTTCAGATTTAATCCAGTACCTGAGTTTATTCCAGAATGTTTGATCTCTTATATTGGTCTTGGACTTTGTGGTTTGTACAGCATGATGATACTAAACCATAAAATCTGACAGAAATCAGAAGTGTTAATACTATTCAACATTTTTACATACTTTATGAACATATTAAGTCACCATCTATCCTTGATGTTGATACGGATGTTGATATTTGCTGTTTAAGAAAGGTATACGTCTCATGTGGGAGGATATCGAAATTATGCGTAATGGTCATTGGACTGTTACTTTACTCAAGACCATTACGGTGGACATGGATATCATATGGCGTAATTTAATGTTAGTAAAAATTGGTGGAGAGTTTGATTATAATGTCAGCGTAAATGATATAGTTATTCATATTTATTTCAAAACTCGGTTTTGTTAAAATATCTCGGTGCAGGGTCTCGAATATTTTTTCCGCCATACAGTTGTCATATGGACTTTTTAAAGAGGGAAAAACGTGTGTAAGACCGTTTTATAAGACAAGAATATTTTTTAATAGATTCCTAAATAAGTCAAGCTTATGTTACAGGAATAACAGATCAACTTAATAGGAGTTGATGACTTCGTCATATATAGAAAAGGGTCCATTTTTGCCTCCACAATTAAGTCAATTACATATTTGTTTCTTAACATTTTTCGAAATTTCGATTAATAATTTTTTAGTTCTCTCTTCAAATAAAAGAAGTTCATAATTTTTTAACAGTCTATAAGCCCATTTTATAAGCACATTTTTGTTTATTTATTTTGTGTTTGTGAATTGGATTTAGTACTTTTTCCCTCTAAGTCGACGTAAATAACATTTAATTTTAAGAAGTCTTAAGTATGTCGTGTGAAAAACGTATTCACTGGATACAGTCGATCCGGCGTTCGGATTATTTAAATTTTAATTGTTAATAGATAACATTTTGTCTTGTATTGTTAACAGACATTAATTAATTGATCATGGAAAACGTAGAATATGTAAAAAATTTTGTGTATAATATTCTTAAGAAGTTCTTAAGTTTTTATTAATTTAATTTGAAATTAATATTTAAGATAGTATCCTGACTTGTTTGTTTTTGTTTAATTACATTTTGTTTTATATGCCAAATAAGTCAAATTTCAATAATTTCCCTTTTGGGAAATTTATTTTGCGATGTTGCGTTTGACAGTTTTGCAGTAAATTTGCTTAATTTCTTCTTAACTAAGTTGGGAAGCACGAAAGCTCTTTGTGAGGTTAATCAACTTCATCTTAATTAAAAATAATCTTGATTAAAAATAACAAAAAGGCTTTAATGAAGGTAATAGAAAAATAATATAGGTTATTTATCTGTAGTTCCGTTCTTAATTTGTTTTAAAACTTGCAGAACGATGACATGCGATTTGCCTATATCTATCTGCTAATGTAGCAAAGTCACATATTAATTCATACTTCACACCATAGATAAATGGTAATATTTTTTTTTTTTGCTATTTGTTTGTTAAATAAAACATGAAACCCTATATTAATGCCTGATGTCACGCTTTCACTGCACATCTTTCCAATTCACCTAAAAAGTACCAAAAAATTCAGTTTATTTTTATTGCTGGTTTTAAGTTATATTTTAGCTTTTATTTTAATTTTTGATTTACTCTTAAGTCCTCATAAACTTAAAATTAATTACAACAATTTCTGTCAGTTTAACAATTTCGCAATAAATAAAACCCAACTTTTATGGGCGCCCTCGTCGTACCGTACATGTGTCCGACCGTACATGTCTTTGTCGCGCTGCTTTCTTAAATTAAATCGCGTGATTTATGCATTTTTTGATACTTTTGGAAAACCATTTAAACATTTGCTTGCAAAAATATGGGTCAGTGGTGTAAAGAACAGAAACGGATTTGGGTCGAAAATTATTGCAGATGTTTGCTAATATGTGTAGGAAGTCAATGTTTCGTGTGTTCCTAAAAAAACAAAAATTTTTATTCACTGGAAATTAAATCAAAAATTATGGCGATTTAATGCAAAAAAAAAAAAGATTTCTTTTTAATAAATGAATGGATCAGTTTATGTAGTGCGACTACTGAGAGAATGTACATACATGCATATAAAATATATGTATATATGGATATAAAATGGGTTATTGGTGGCATTTGAGAATATGCCTTGCTAGAGATAATTATTTATTTAAAGTAATCTTATAGGTATTATATGCATATTATATTTTTATTAAATATTAGAATATATTGTAAAAAATAACGAACTTGTATTAAAACGTATGAATATAATAAGATCTACAGGGTAATTTTGGCAAAGGCAAAGATCGTTAAAAGTCTTTCGCACGATCTTTTTAAGATCGGCTTGAAGACCTTTTGTAAGATGCTAGCTATTCTGGCATAAAACTCTTTCGAAAAAACTTTTCCTGAACGCAGGCTAACGAAGAAAAACAACAAATTTTTAATGGAAAACCAACATAGGGACCCTATCCTGAAGTATTCCCGATAAAGTTCCCGGATAGAAACGGTCTGGTAAATGAGGGGAATTGTTTTTAGTCCGTGCAAACCCGGTATACCGGGCAAAAATAAAAAAAAATTTCTTTCGTTGTGAAATCAAAAACGTATGAATATTGTAAGATCTAATGTCCCAACGTAACGTATTCTATGCGACAATCAATGATCTTTTTTAATTTTTCAAAGGTTTTCGGGTGTTGAGGCTGCAAATTAGCCTGCTTCTCGCCTAGACGTTCAAGTCAGTGGAAAAAACGGGTTAAGGTTCATAAATAAACATTTTGAAACAAATTTATTAATTTAAGTGATATACATTTTGTGGATTTAGCAAGTTTGCCATAAATAAATAGATCAACATTTCTACCTTAGACCTGTCATAAAGAGGGTTTTTTTTTTAAATATTTCTTGAAAATATACTGTAGAAAAAAATGTTTTGTAAAAAAATAAATGAAAAGTTTCTTTTTCTAAGGTGAAAGGAAAAGGAAAGGTGAAGAATTTTGAGAATACATCAATAAAAAATATACATATTTTTCTATTAACTTGTAAGAAGTAAGCTGTAGCCACGAAATTCGTATCTGTTAATATAAAAGACTTTTTTATTAGCCCTTCAAATCTCATTTTTTGAATTTCAACCTGTTACTGCCAGACGGAATGCAGATTTGAGCTCAAAAGTATAATATTTATGAGAAGACGTTAAAAAACAAAAAGCAGATATTATACTTCATTCTTATAAAGACAGATGTCAAAAAAATTGAACAATTTTTTGTTAAGCTAAATTGTTTTTGACTACAAATATTCGAATAATTATTATGTATTATTATTATTAATAATACACAAATAATAGACTATGAATGCACCCCGACCTAAAAGAGCTATTGTGCGCCTAAAGGGTCAACTAATACAATTCCAGGCTATTTATAAATTTCGTAGTTGCTGTGAGCTTAATTTTACCTAATTATATCTATTTGGGACTAAGATCCCGCTTCCGAGGTAGTCAAGTCTACGTCTTGCCCTCGCTGGGCCGTTGTGGTAATTGAGTCTACAGTGTCTTGTAAGATACGTATTTTTTTACAATTAAAAATTTTTTGGAGTTGTTTGATCGTTCGGGTATTTTGATACCCAATTATGGTAGTACTGGCGCGTTTGGTTTGACGAGCCACGCAAAAATGTACGAAGACCACAAATGTGGTATCGTAAAGTTTGGAGATGAGTTCTTGGTCCAATAAATTAAAAAAATCATGCAGGAGGGAAAGGAGGATTTAGTGCGTCATCAATATTTACCGAGATGTATAGTTGATTCCGAGCTTAATTTTTATAAAATTTAACTATCCTTTAATATAACATTTATTTATACCAAAAAGGGTTAAGAAATTATAATAATCAGACACATTGAAATACAAACATATATGAAGTGGCATGGAATCTAGTTTTGAAGATATTAGAATTTTATTAAAAAAACGTTTTTTTATGGTTAGATTTTGCTAAATACCTTACTGAAATATATTCCCCAAATTTTCAACATATATCTTTATTTGTAAATACAGTGTTATCCATTTTGTAATTTCGACTAAAATACGCATATGATTGAGATAACAATAGAATTTTTATTCCAATATATTGTTTGAACCTTTCATTAGTTGTGAAATACAACATTCATAT